ACGGGAGAAGATCTTCCAGGTGGCCCTTGGATGTGTAGCAAAATAATGTTGTACCTTTAAAGTCTGAGTGCTGGCCTTATTTCTCCTCCATTCTCCAGGGACACGCTGTTTTCTATTCATTTTGCTTAAGGCTCTCCGGGACTTCCCTTGAAGCGGGGGGACCACACGTGCCCGACTCGGGGTCTCAGCACCAGCCGCTACTGCCCGGGCTCTGTGCCCTGTTGGTTCACTCCGCTCGCGGTCGTCCGGGATGATATGCGTGACGCACGGGCCCGGCAGAGAGACGAGGAGACCAGTGCACACGGCGCGCACTGTCTGGGCGCAAGGTGGGGCGCGGGACGGTTTTAGGTTTTGTTAGCACAGCCGAACAATCTGTGTCAGCCACCCCCAAGGCCCTCCCCAGAAACCGCGCACTGCTCCGCCAGCGAGCTACAAGCCCAATGCTGAGGCTCCCATCCAATCAGATCCCCAGCCTTGAGTCCCCCGGACACGCCCCGGGGCCCGATGGACGGTCGTGGGAGGTGAGGCTGAACACACTGGATTTAGGATCGGGTAGCAAGCTTTAGGCTTGACACAGTAGATCCTTAAGGAGCTATCGCAGGCTCCTCGACAAGGAAATACTCAATATGGGGATCTATCAGAAAGATTGATCTCCATGGAACTTAACTCACTGCAAACATGAATTAAACTTTTCCAAGAAATAAGTCAAAATAATGAACTAATAGCAACGAAGTGTTAATAATGAAGGAACTGAAGGTTTTTAAAAATTCCATTCTGGCATAATTAAGGGATAAATCAGTTCAAATGAAATATGTCACTGTTATTAAAACTTCATTTATTGAATTATGTTCCATGTGAACAGAGTGTATTTTTTAAGATTATTCGATTATTATATAAGTCAATGTCGTTTCCCGTTTTGGGCAAATTGATATTAATGCCTTGCCGTTGAAAACGCAACTGAGTTTATCCAATTAGCTTCCCAGAGGCCACCTGAAAGCCACCAGACGGCCTCCCGGGGCCGAGGTCACATCAGAAATGCGAGTTACGGCGGCCTGAGACCACGCATGCGCGATCGCTCAGCCCACTGGGCGCCTTTCCCATCAGGAGGCACAAGGTCTTTCCACTCCCTCCACACACTGCATCGGAACGTAATGACTTACGCTCTACCCACAGTGCTCACAATAATTAAAGTTTTTCCTTCTTCCTAATAGGAGTCTTTCTGAAAATAGCACAATATCCAATGACCGTTAACAGACCTGCCATGGTGCTTGAATAAACGCCCAACGAGAGTTGCGGGCGCCCATTAGGAACTTTCCCCAAGAAAATCCATTTCCATTTCAAATTCTGACATTTTATTTAGAAAAATTACACGCCTTCTTTTCATTATTTCAGTAAACATAATGAGGGGATTGCTAACTGCCCCTCAGAGTACTTTATTTTCTCCAGGTTTTTAGTAATATGAGCCTACTCGTAATTAAAGGCATGCTACATTAATGATGCCTACGGTCTCCAAGGGGAACAGTTAATGTCCACCTCATAATATTATGCCAAAATTACACGCACAGAAGACTTTTTAATAACCTTTGTTTCCTAATTTAGTTTTGATTGGCTCTGAAGCCCACAGCCGCACTTGAGGGCTCACATTTCTGCCGCCATCAGCACTTCTGGGCCATAAATTGTACCGGCGCGCCGACTCCTTCCGCCTGCAGGGCTTCTGTTCCAGGCTGCTGTCTGCCCGATCCACAAAACCAGCTACAGGCTGCAGACAACGGCGGATAATTCGGCCGTTCTCAAGCCGCTGGGGCATGGCGCGGCAATAGGACAGCTACCTTGGTCCACACACAAAAAAACAAGGCACAGGGTTATCACTCAGCAGGACGCACAGGTCCGTGTCACCCGCCACCCCGCTTGCTCTTTACGCCAACAGGACACGTTGCAGTTGCCAGGCGGTCTGTGCTAACCGACGGGGCTGCGTTCCCTGACGCTTCTGTGTGGCTCCAGGAAGGCGACCGCCCGTCCCGATGTGGAAACACAGTCCGAGACAGAGGGCTCGGCCCTCTCCTGCCCGTCAGGGTCCTCCCGCTGAGCAAACACAGAGCTGGTTTAGCCACGCACAACTTCAAAGAAATACGTTAAATTAAAAACAAACTGATGACCTCAATACACACAATTCATTCATAGAGATGTAGATATATCTACATCTCTCCCTATACTCCCCTACTCTGCTGTCCTGAGTAGAAATGGCAGAATTCTCCCATGAAACTCCTGTTTGAAATGCTGGTCCCATGAGCAGGCAACCACTGAAGATCAGCAGACAGGAAAGAGTTATAAAGCAGGGCATTCGGGTTAACAAGCAGAGGTCTATCATCAGGTGGAATCACGTGGTCCTTTTCTCCTGAGTGTTCCCTCGAAAGTGAAGGCATTCGTAGGTGGCACAGAACAGTGGAGCTGATGCAAAAAGCAGCAACCCAGACTCTCCATGCATTGCCGATGAACTTCAACTTTACATACAATCAATGGGCTATGGGAATCACGGGGTCCTTCTCTGGCCAAACGTGCCCATGGCGCTCAGAACTGCCACCGTCACAGCTAGTAAGGATGACAACTAGCTGAGCAGGGCGTGGCTGAAACTATTTTGCAGCAAATATTTGCATACAAGGGCTAAGCGGTGACGGGGCCGGTGTGGGCGGTGACGGAGCTCCTACGGTGGCCACCCCGCTGCAATGGGCCACCGTGACTGAGAGAGCAGAGGAGAGAGTGTGAACATCCTAACGCAGGTGATTTTACGGATTCCCATTAGACCGTGGGCCATGGAGCCCCTCAACGGGCCTGACGCGACAGCATCCCCTACGCTGCCGCAGCCCCGCGCCTCGGGCCAGGAACCCGCCCACCGATGCGCTTCAAGGCAAGTCCGCACCTGCGCGGAGGACGACCGTGCTTCTAGACTGCACCGTCGTCGACCACCGGACCTGTCACACGCATCCAAAGAGTCCCCAGGTCCGCACGTGCGGGATGGATTGTTCAGTCCGCTGGGCCCATCACGTGCACATTCGCCCTCTCCCTCGGAGAAGACTTCACTCAACCACAGTCTCAAATCCGCTGAAGCTGCCCTACTCCGACCAAACCCCGGGGAAAGGCAGCCTTGCGGAAAGGCAGCCCCGTGGGGCCTCGCGTGAACGTAAGCAGCACACAGGTGACCAGAGGGGACGAAGCCGAGAGGAATCATTCGAATGCTTCTTTCCCTTTGGGTCTCTAATGTCCCTTAGCCAGTGGGCCACTGGGGACCAGCGTGTTTAAGGCCCTTGGTCCAGGTCCCTGCGAAAGGCAGGCCGGAGACGTTCTAGGACGTCTCCTTGCCCACTCGTGATGGGAGGAAGGAGCGAGCGGAGGACGCCAAGTACACCCTGGAGCGGGGCGGGTGGGGATGGTGCTGAGGGGCGTCCCCTTGCCGGAGGCCAGGGCCGGGGGCGCAGCACGCTGAAAGCACCCCTTGAACGCACCGCGAGGGGCCTGTGCAAGTGGCAACAGCCCTCCAAACAAGGGGGTTTGCTGTTGTCCTTAGACGTGTAAACTGCTAAACAAACCCAGAAGTGGCGTGTGGTTACAGGTGCATGAGAACCCACTCACAGAGCTGAGTGTTCTTAGCAGTGGGAAGAGCGGGCCCAGAACGCATCCTCCACTGCCGGAGTGGGAGACCCCACTACCGCTCACCTGCACAGTCATCCTCCCCAAGATCTTAGACCTGACCTTTGATGAGAGGACATTAAAGGTCTACAGAAAGCCAACAAATGCCCTGCTGTTTCTACAGACACCTTGCAGCTTTGCTGATGTGCTGGAACCAGCTCCTGTGCTGGGAGTCTCCAGTTTCCGAAGTGCCTCTCCTTCGCAAAGTGCCTGCCTGCCTCCTGCCTGCCTCCCGGAGAGCCGGGTCCCCTCTGTGAAATATTCGCTCTTCCAGCGTCCCTTCGTCACAGTGACACCTAATCGCCCGGTGCCTTCTCTCCCTGCGCACGGAACCGGGTTTAGACTATCATTCAAACCAGTCCCCAAAGGCGCTTCTGAAAAATGGCAGGCCCTCAGCTTTTAGGTGAAAACACTCTTTATTGCTCAAAATTGTTTCCTGTTACAAAACCTTCTCTCCAGTGCCGGGCCTAGGATGATCTTATGCTAATGTAAGTCACCGGGGACTGAGAACAGATGCCGCTTTGATGCACAGGGTCACCCTCCTGAAAACGCCTGGGCCAGGTGCAAGATAATAAAAGTCAGGTAAGAATACTCTTAAAATCTGCCATACGATTACATCTGTTATGTGAAAAAATGGAATCACCGCTCCTGTATCAAATGAAAACCACCTCTAACCAAATAACAATAACAAAAACCAAAGCCAGTGACGTGCAGCCAATGAACACGCTGTAGCGTGCGCATGACTCAGCCCATCGATTTTCACCGTTTTAATCACCGAACTCTTACACTAACGCTTCACAGGAATATTTTCAGCACTGTCCCTGGTGACCATGCAGTGTGGCACTCCAACATGACCTTTCCACAAAGCGTTCACCCTTCCACCCAGAAAAAGACTCACGCACACGGCCAAAACGACGGACTCTGTAACCTTGCCTATCCAAGGGGCGGTACCGCCGGGCCTCGCGGCGCACGGCTCCATTCCGCGGCGTCTCGTCCTCGTGCTGATTAGATGCCAGAGGAAGGAACTTAACTCTCGTTTATGTCGATCAGCCTCTCGTACAACCGGTTTTGTGACCCAGTGTTTCGCTTACAGTCGCAGCACCCAGAGCCCCCATTGCACCGGGACCTGTGACTCCGGATGGTGCGAGCCTCCACGCAGAACACAGCCGGCGCCCGCCCCCAGCGTCCCCCCTCCCCCCCGCCTCCCGCCGAGCCAGCGCTGCGCCCCGGGCTGAGTCTTCACCTCCCCTCATCCGCACGCGTGGACCAGAGCCCCCACGCAGTACGCAATAGTCTACTCGAACGCGTTGCCTCACCATTGCACAGAACGTCTCGGGAGGGTCTCCGCAGGTGATGTCCGGCGGGTCCAGCCTCACTTTCAGGTATTTGGTCATGTCCGTGGACTCCGGCTGGCAGGCCATGTAATCCCAAACCTTCCCTTCTTCCGTGTAAATCTGAGTCTTACACACATCGTAATGTCCCCACACCAGCGGGTAGGGCTGCATCACCGAGGACACCGTCACCCAGAGGGCGTGAATGGACAGGAACCGTGACAAATACATCTCTAAGTTCTTGGCAGCCCTGGCGGGAACTAACGCGGGGCCTGCTCCTCGGGGGGCTGTGTCTATTTCACATACGCATAGACATAAACAGCGTTGTGTTTAAAGGAAAAAAAAAAAGAGGATGAGACCTCAAAGTCGATTCCAAAGCTGAGTGTGAAGGGTTGAGAGACTGTGCGTGTTCGGGGACATCAGGGACTTTGGTGACCTGCTAACATACTCGGGCGTTCGGTGTTAATAGCCACTGGCAGTTTTTTCCTTGTCCATTCGACCGGGGTCTAGTTTGGTGTTTGGAAAAGACGTCTAGTCGCAGATCACGACTTGGCAAAGGGAGGGCTCTCTGGCTGTACATCCGATAGCCCTGGGGTAGGTCCTGGGCGTGCGGGGCTGGCTCCCAAGGGCTCTTCGCCCTCCGATGTCAGTACTCGAAGCACGAGGGTGCGTGTCTCCAGCCTGGTGTCTGTGTCCCACCAACCATCCTTCTGGCACCAGCACCCTTTCAGAAACAAGAAGGATAAGAGTTACCATCCCAGAATCAATACATTACCACATGTAGGAGAGGTTGACACAGGGGAGGCTGGGTGCAAGACAAAGCAAGTGGATAACTTTTCCTCGCTGCTCTGCTGGAAGGAGCAGGCCACCGAGATCATTCCCACGGGGGAGAATTTCACTAGGAAGGATTGAACTCTTGCATAACACCAAGACACGTGTGTGTGTGTGTGTGTGTGTGTGTGTGTGTGTGTGTTCCAGGGGAGTCACAGGTTTTTACTTCAAAAGTTACACTTCCACCTGGACCACAATGAGAGCACGCAGCCAGGCTGCAACAAGGCTCCCAGCTGCGGGTGCTAGAAAGTTTCCCAGAACGGCAGCGGAAATGAGTGTCTTCATAACAGTGACACAGAAGTGACAGCCACTTGTATGCCTTTTGTCTCCCAGCAGAGAGACCCTAAACATCTCCAAAGGCCTTGTCCATTTCTTAGCTTTTGTTAGCACAGTGAACACTGGCGTCGTCAGCCGGCCCCCTGGAGGGGCCTGCTGTATTTTGGAAGAATTTAGCACCTTTTGTTTAGTCATCATGATAGTGTGGCTTCTGCAACAAAGACTCAAAATAAAACCAGAGCAGCCAATTTTCCTTTCCTAAGAATTCTCCATTCTCTTACACCTTTTTATGGACATGACAGCTGCTTTGCTAGTTACTTTCTGTAACACAAGAGGAGACTCTTTCCTAAAGGCGAATATTATACGCGCTTTAGAACGAAAAGCTCTGTAGTAAAACACACTATTTAAAATGCACATTTGAAAATAGCGGAGGGTGAGTTAACAGGCCGTGAAGCAGAATAATATGGCACTAATTCTAAGAGAAAATAAAAATGACTATTTAACGATACTTTTGGTTAACTGGTAACACAGCTTCCGTAGCTATGGGTATGTTATTGGTGAGTTTCCCTGGCCACTTTTCTCGTTGGAGAGTGCTGTCCTCATCTAAAGAAGTGGCAGAATTTGGATCCTGGGTTTCAAAAGTGTCTTTGCCTCATTAGTTGTCACAGTCCCAGTAATTATTTTTAAGCCACTGGAAAAGGACAAAAAGCCCAGAGTTCTAGAAAATACCATTAGAGACCCTTCAATTCACATGAAGCCGTTTAAGTATGGATGTTCACTACCTCCAAACAATCTCATAAGAGAGATCCTGTATTTAAATAATGCACCATCTTAAAGTGAACTCAGCCACAGAAACCATGAAATGCCAGCAGATGGCTGAATTGTGTTTCCATAGCAAAGTAATTTATAATAATTGCTTTATGGATGCAAGTACAATTTTCATTATATCCCATTCATAAAATGTTATCATACAGCTGCAAATCGTGATATTTTCTATTAGGAAAAGTTGAATATTTGAGTTCCCACGAAGTGATAATCAGCTGTTTGTCTAAACACGGATAAGCTGCCGATCTGAATCCGCCTCTTCCGTGCAGCGTAAGGACTACACTCTGGTGAACGCAATTTCAAATCTTAGGCTAAAAAGAAAAACTCCCCAGGGAAGCGTGTGTGGTGGCCACTAGAGCCTTCTGGGTTTTGTTTTTGTTTTTTCAGATTCATTAGTATATGTAAGCTGGCATTTTCAGAAACATCCAACAATTTGACAAGTAATACTCCAAAAAGCTGTTACAATAGTACAAATGTACATTTTCCAGATGCGTGTTTCCACGGTGTTTACTCCTGTGCTATATAACCAGGACAAACACTTTCAGGATGAGGGTGTGTGTGTGTGCGTGTGAGTGTGCGCAGGGTGGTAGCTGAAGCAGCATACACTCCACTAGACCAGGAATTATTCACTTCAACTCTTCGCTCCTAGTTCATAGCAACTTATCTCTGAAGGACAACATACTCTCGAGGCCCAGAAACAGGTGGCAATGACTCTGAACTGACTCAGCACTAGGAGATAGTCCTTAATACTATTTTTAAAATACGACCCCAACTATATATTTGAAATCTCCCTGAGATGAATCCTCACTTTTTTTTTTCAACCAATGGATGCGATCGCCTTTCCCCATTTACTCCTGGTGGCTGTCTTTGCCCACCTGCGGCCCTCCTGCAACCACACACGGAGAGGGGACTGTGTACACTCACGACAGACACTGGGGCGCGAAGGAAATGCGCGGGGACCCGTCCCTGTCTCCTGCCCCAACGGCAAACCCCCTGTAACGGATTCTCATTAAACCGCAGCAGAATCATAATGATGGCCATTACGCGGAATTATGGACTGCACCGCTGATCGAATTCACAGGACTGACAGGGGAAAATGCAGAGCAGGGCAAAGATATTTGAATGCTACGCTTTCGCAGGCCCGCGCGACAGACCTTCTTGACAAGAAGCAGCCAATTATAGCTTACACTTCTGGCACATAACCAGTTGTGATTAATAGTTTTCCATTACATTACAGACGTACTATTAATGTATTAAAAATGTCAAGCCTTGGCAAGCGCTAATGTGGTGTGGCTCAGTCGGCCTGCAGAATTTGCATTTAATGAGCTCCCATTGACACGGGAAAGATATTGACCACCGCGCGCAGAGGTCAGGAGCAGGGGGTCGCTGAGCTGCTCTCGAGCACAATTATTTGATTCCGTTCTCATTTTTTTTAGACCTGCCGTGTGCGTCACCCACTCTGTGGCCTTTGCGTCAGGCTCGCCTTGCTGTGCCACCGCAAGTGCTACGCGCACGTCAGAGAACAACCTGTTAACGTACAATTAGCAGGAGATTTAAACTGGGAACTTGCGTGGCACCCCGCACACCTCTGCCAAAATCAGAGACTTTCTCCTAAAGGAGAGTGATGGCGTCTTCAAAGGAAATAAAACGATGTAAAGACATTGTTTTTAAATGTCTGTCATTACCTCATGGCACCGGGTTAAAATCATCAATAGCTTCTTAAAAGCTGGGTCCTCGCAGCAAAGAGCTAGGCACACCGATTACGGGAAGGCCCGTTTGGGGCAGGTCTGGGGATTTCACGCACTGAACTAATAATCCCTCCGCCCGGGGTCGGAACTAATTGCCCAGGGACCGTGGGCTTTGGATTTGTCTCAGGCATGTGCATCACCTAACTGTTCGCAGCTCCAACTCCAGTTCCTGACTTTGCAAACCTTGGGAGCTGAGCGTGAGTCAAACAGAGCCACCACCTCTTCCTGCGCACTGAAGCATCGCGGAGTCCCCTCGGATAAAAATACCCACGAACACGCTGGGAGAACTCCTTAGCCCTGCTGTGTGGATTTGCAGAGCCGACACAAAAACGCAAAATCATGCCGTGCCCTCAAGTTGATGGATGTGACCGATCTGGTCTAAAATGGGCTATCCAGTGGCTGCGCACACACGGAACACTATCTTTCTCCAGGGCTCCGTCGCGAGTTCCCTTCCTCCTCGGACTAACTCTGCAACAAGGTATGTCGCGGGCCCTTTCTCGGGGCAGAAAAGAAGTCTTCCCGAAATAGTTCATGGAAGTTAATCATGATCAACATTAGGGACAAGGATATTCCGAAACCAAGTGCCATTTTCATCAACGGAGAGGGAACTACTGAGAGTGAATCCCCAAACTCCAGCTGCTTTTCCACCTTTGTTCTATTATATAATCTTGCTCCGGGCTGGGGGCGGCGCTGGGAGGCTATTTGTGCCATAAATACTGGGCTCTTGGGGGGCACCTGAAATAGACAGCTACTGACTCATCCCTCATAGACACGAGGGCTTTTATTAATACACGTGTTTCTGAATGGGAAGGAACAAAAAGACTATCATCACATTCCATGGAGTGGAAAACATAAAGGGAGGATGATATACACAAATCCCATAACCTCTCAAACTTCGCAGCTCCCAACACGCTGCCGAGGAGCTTATGACTAGATGAGGTAGCTAACGGATTCTGACTGTTCCTTGCCTTTCCTTATCGGTTGTGAAGAGAACAGTGTCTTTCCATCTTCCTGGGAGATACTTGCTTCTCTCCTTTTGTTAACTGTCTCTCAAAACATGAGGAATTTAACGTGTCCTGCAATACGACTGACTCTTGTTTATAACTCATATTTGATTGGATCTTACGAGCAACCGCCTTTCGTGAGATTCTTAATAAAACCAAATAGCACACCTTGGCATTAGAAAGATCTCTGTTTTCACCGAGCGAAGGCTGAGGAGAGAAGTTACACAGTGCATATTCGGCAGGACGTGTGAGGAGGGGGATAATACACAAAATCATTTCAGAGGCAGTGCAGCCTCGAAGAAATCTGCCCTTTCGTGACTAAATCTTTCCTCCTCTGGGGGGAAGTTCAGAGCTCCGAGGCTTAAAGGGCACGGGTGAGAACATCTACACCCACCTGAAGTTTTGAAATGAAAACTTCAGGGTTCTGAAGATAAAATTATTTTTTAGAGTATGCTAAATCTCTTACTGACCTGAAATACAATTCACACACACACACACGCACACACACACACACACACACACAGCTTTCTGTGAACATACAACTAACTTTTGGAGTTGGATGACATTTTATTTCTTTCCGAGCGACTTGGGGTTTTTGTAACTAAAACTCTCTCTCGAAATCTTACAACTCTTAGAAACCATACCAACTAAAGGTGTGATGGTTTCATTTTTTAAGCACATTTACCTGATGCCCCCCCCCCCCCCCAGAATAACAAGGGAAGCAAAGACAGGTATCTGCTCCAAGTACGAGCACACAAAAGGACACTGCGAAATACACGGCCGGCCGCCTCCGGAAAGAGGTGACCTGCATCACTGTCACACACATGCCCGGTGAACACGGACAAAACAGACATCTCAAGGGGAAAAGCAGCTTTGCGTGCAAATAAAGTGTCTCCTTACACAATGCGAGATGGTCCCACTTCAACTTCGCCACAGGAAATATCACCAAAGCACAAGACAAATCTATAGAATTCTGAATGGCCTCGTGTTGGTCTTCAGTGGTGACACAGCTCTCATTTCAGGACACTCAGCAAAGGAAATGCACCCCTCACGCATGGGATGGGAAACACGGTGTGTTTTTTTCTGTGTACTGAGATCCACATGCAAACATCCAGATTTTGTCTTAATGAAAAACTGAAAGTTGTCTGTCTTCCCCAAAAGTCTTGGGCAGTTACGGAGCTGTTCATTCCCGCCCCCCCCGCCCCGAGAAAAGGGGCTGGAGGCACATGGAGCCCTCAGAAGTGACACAGTGCCAAAGTACTCCATGTCACCAGGGGCTGCTAACACCCCAGGGGGCACAGATGCTCTTCAGGGGCTGACCCAGCACGCCCCCCAGACGTCCCCCTCCTCGGAGGGAATGTCTGGGAAACTTGTCCTGACGAGCTTAACCGTTAAGTAGGTTTAAAGAAATGGTTTTTGCTGGAAGAGCTTTCTGGGTTTTTGTTTTTTTTTCCCCTCATTTCTGTAAGATAAGAAAACTTTAGTATTCTCGGTCATAAAATAGAGCCTTATTTCTAGAGCAAAGCTACTGCCAGATACACCATATGTTTAGTTCCGCAGAATGTTGAATCTCACTCAGAATTTCCCATTCCGAGCACTGGCAAACTGTGCTAAGGAGGGGCTCCATCCCCTTTCCCGGGGTCAAGGGAAGAATGGGGAAGGGGTTGGGGGGGGGAGCCTCTACTCTCTGGAAGTCTGCAGGATGGAGAATGCATCTCTGACTTTTCCAAATAAAGTTGCTTTAAAACCCCCACTGGGAATTTTCCTCCTTGGCCCAGTGAAACCACCTCTTTCTTAAGTGGATTTCTGGAAAAGGGGAGGAAAAAAAAAAAAGGTCCCCAGGTAAGATTACGAAAATCAACAGCAGAGGGCGCAGTTTCTTTTTGTATCCAAGTTTTTCGGTGTATGAACCCTTTAATCGGTTATTCTGGGCCCAATAATATCCAGTATTATTTGTGTTGTATATAGATATCCACAGATCCATAGGAAGGGCCGTTCGTTTTCCCTAGCCGATCCATCAGCCGACTAAGGCAATGCCAGTGAAGAAGCTGGGAAAATGTTCCAAACAGCCTCCCCACGCACCAAGTCCTTCCCTCTTTGAATTTTCCCTTCTCCCCAGCTGCACGACCTGGGATAGTAAGGCTTTAGTCTCGCACCAATAAAGGGGATTAAATGAAGGGAACTTCAAAAGATCAACGTGTGGACGCCGGCTGCACTGGGCCGGCAAGAGGGCAAGTTTTTTTCCCCAAAGCAAAGACAAATGGTGGAAGAAAGACAGGAAAAAAGAAAGGACCCTTCGGCGCGCGGTGTGTGGTCAGGTGTGTGCGGGAGGAGCGCGGCAGCGTGCCCGTCCGCGGAGACACGACCCAGGGTCCGGGCTCCGGAGACCCCGCGCGTTCCCCGCCGAGGCGCACACCCGGGAGCCCGGAGTGTGGGGGTGGGAGTGCGCGGGGTGGGGGGTGGTTCGCGCAGGGGCTCCGCGCGCTGCCTCCTCCCGGCGCTCCGAAAACTTCCTCGCCCACCCGGAGCCCTGCCACCCGCCGGAGGCAGGCACTGGGGGGCCGGAGGGAGGGGCAGCCCGGGGTGGGGGGTGGGGAGCAGGAGCTGCAGGATGGGCTGGGAGAGGGGAGCCTGGCGGCACTCACCGTGTGGCCCGATGGCCCTGGCGCCCACGGCGGCCCAGCCGACGGCGCGGGGCGGCGGCCCAACCTAGCCTGGCGCACCCCGGGAGGCGGCCGCAGCGGCGGAGCCCGCGGGTGGAGCTGGGTGGGCGGCGGCGGCGGCCCCGGTCGAGCCTCCGGGAGGACCGCTGGCAGCAAGGAGGGCGGGGTGTGCACCCGGCGCCGTGGCAGTCCCGGGGTCTCGATCGCGCCCGGCCCGCCGCGGGAGGGGACTCCGCGCGCCCCGAGCCCCGCGCCAGCCCGCCACTCCCCGCCGCTTAATTACCTTCGCCTCCGGGCCCCTGGGGGGAGCCTCCTGCGCGACGCCCCCTCTCGGAGCCCTGGCGGAGAGGGGGGGATTCCTTCTCGTTGACGTCCTCTTCCGAAATGCAGAAGATCGGTGACTTTGACAGGTAGATGAGGAGGAGGGAGCGGGGGTGGGCGGAGAGGAAGCGCGGACGGGAAAGGTGCCTCTCCCTCCAAAAATGTGGCGATATTAATAATGGAATCGCCGCCGCCGGGCGGTCTCGCAGCCCAGTCCCCGCCTGCCCGCTCTCCTCCGCGCCTCCTCGCGCCCCTGCCTCTGACACTTCTCGCCTTAAACTTTTACGGAGGGATTTTTTTTCCTCCTATTTCTAATTTTTTTCTCTTATTATTATTATTATTTTTTTTTTTTCAAATTAAGCCGCAGGACGATTTCCCGATTCCCGGGGATCAGAACCAGCAGCCCGGCGGTTCTCTCCCGCTTGGCACCGCTCTCATTTTATTTCAGATGAAGACGTGGCGCTGGGTCCGAGGGGACATCCGTCAGGGCGAGCAGCCTTGGCGCCAAGAACATCCTCCAAGACCGGGTCCTGCCGGGCTGCCTTCGCGCATTCCTCCACTCAAGTCAGAAATGTCGCCGCACAGGGCGCTGATGGCTGCGAGACGCGACGCACCCCGAGTCCGTCTGATGAAACGTACATGGCCCCCGACGCTTCTGGACTGCGGCGCCCGGCTGCCGCCCCGCCCGCCGCGCGCGGCCGGCCGGACCTGCTCCGAGTGGCCAGGCGAGCTCCGGGCAAACTTAGGGGCGCGTGCAGACGCGGGAGGGAGCGCCGCGCGGGGGCGGGAGACGCCGGGGACGAGGCGGCGAGCCCGGGGAAGCCGCAGCCCGCGGAGGGGTGGCGTGTACGTTTCACTTAAAAGCGGATCTTCTTCTGCAACTGGCAGCAAGTGGAAGGATTGCAAACCTTATACTCCCCGAGACCTGAGCGCTCCGAGCGGTCCTAACTCCGTCCCGCTCGCTGCGGCTGCGGCGGCGGCGGCTGGTGCTGCTGCTGCTGCTGCTGCTGCTGCTGCTGCTGCTGCTGCTGCTTCAACTGCAACGGGTACCACCCGGGCCGCGGCGCCAGGACCTCAGGCTGCGGAGGGTGGGAGACCACCTGCGCCTCCCCCCGCCCGCGCTCGCCCACGGAAACGCGGGTTCCCGGGACTCTCCGCGTACCTGGCACTTACGCCCTCGCGCGTCCCATCCCTCACTCCTGGTTTTAACCCAAACCGCGTCTGAGCGTACCCCTCGCCCCAGCGGGGACGGCCACGGTGTTTTTTAAACAATTCCCCTGCCCAGCCTGCGGTGCCTACAGAGCAAGCCTAGAACCTCCTCGCTTAGAAATCCGTGCTCCCTTGGAAAAGTTGGAGTTTAAGAGCGAGTGGTGCATTTCAGGCCTCGTTGCTTCTCCCAAGAGACAGAGAAATGCTCCCGAGACTTCATTCCCACCTGCGCGGGGGCTCAGATCGCCCCAGGATCACTGAGCTGCACGCTAACACCAGCGAAGATCAAGTCAAGACTTAGGAAGAGACGTGAATTAGAAAGCAAGGCGATTGCCATAGGGGAACACTTTGGCCTTAGGCGTCTGTAAGCATCTCCACACACAGCAGAAGCAGGTTTCCATACCGTTTATACCGTGACACGAGGGGAGTGAGTGAGCAGTAAGGGGAAAGGGCAGACGAGAGGGAGAAAAAACCGAGGCATGACAAGAAGTGCGCCCCCCCACCCCTGGCCCGCGGATCTGGGCACTAAGCTAAGGAGGAAGCGGTTCCGCACTTTGGTGTGGGCTTAGGTCTGGGAGCAAGCTCCCGGGTCAGGCTCCAGTGGGCGGCGGAGAAGCCTGACTCAGGATTGGTCAAGCCATGGGCGGCCGCGAGAAGGCGCAGAGCTAAGTTAGAGCAGTGAGTGGGGCGTTTCTCCTCCCGACTGCGACTGCGGGCGGTGAGACCAGCAGGGGGCTTCGGGGAGGAGGTCTTTGGACTGGGCCTAGACCCAGACCCTCCCTGGCTCCGAGAGGCCAGGATGGAGACAGGGCTTCGCGGCTCCTGGGCCCTCCAACCCCTGAGAGGGCACCTGAGTCTTTCCTCCCTTGACCCCCTCCAGGGCGGGAAGCTGGGATTTCCTGCTGCCCTCCCCGCTGCCACTCTGTACCTGAGCAAGCACCCACGTTACATGGAGTTCCTTGCAGGGGTGAAACTCCTAGAGGGCAGTCCGCTGACCGTGGCCTTGGCTCTCCACCGTCCTCCTCAGGGGTGGAAGTCCCCTGGGTAAATGGAGATGCCACTGGCCACCTAACCCTGCCTTACAGCCCCGCCCCCTCCCCTTCAGCCCGCTCAGCCTTCCTCCCTCCTGCTTGGGAAGCAACACCCACCTGCCGGTCCCCTCTCCTTGGCCCTTGGCCCAAAACACACAGCTCTCTGCCTGACCTCTCCCGCCTGCCCTTTTTGCTCCAGCCAAGGAAGCCCCTTCTGAATTTTCATTCTCAGTTTTCTCTGATCTTTTTAGGCCCTTTTCCAGTAAAAAGTAAAGAGAAATCTAGGCAGACACAGGAAACTCCATTCTGGGATATACCAAGATCTTTGCGATACTGGCTCCCAACCTGGAGAAATGGTCCCTTTCTTCTGCCCATATCTTGGAGCTGACCCCTGTCATCCTCTCTTCCTGTGCTAACTCTGCCCCCATTCCAGGGGTCCTTGGACGAGGGGCCAGACACTGGCCTTCACTGCGTCTGATTCCTGAGTGGGGTCCTGCTCCGTTAGCCCCACCTCCTCTGCTCCGGTCTTTTCACAGGCTCAGTGACCCACCAACTGAACGTGGGGCTCTGGACTCAGGTCGGGAAGTGAGACTGCGCAGAAGAAAGCGTTCAAGGCGAAGTCCCTTCCCCCGCAGATCTTGACCCTCCGCCACCCAGCGGGGATGGGGTGGGAAGGCCTTTCTCTCAAAAAGCACTTTGGGTGGAGCCAATGTTCTCCCTTAAACCGAGAACCTGTGGACTGGCATTTATATATTAACCCAGCTTTCCAGAACATACCTTGGCATATTGTTGATACCGTACGCACCAAATCAGGGATTGGCCCCAGCTCTTCTCTGAGCATCAGGGAAAATAACGGAGGGTGAACTTGTTTTTCCCATCATCCTTTGCTTTCTCCATCTCTCCATATATTTGATTCTCTTTGGAAAGAACAATGTGTCTGTTTTTACTTAACCTTTGCACTCTACTTTTTTCTCCTTCCCCTTTTAGGGAAGAACGGTGTGATCCCTTAGATCTTTGGCTTCAGAGCCCCAGCTGGATTCCGTGCGTTCCTCCTTCTGCTTCAACTCGGATGTCCGTCTATTTGTGATTCTATCGGGTCTCTTTTGCTGTCCGCTTTTTCTGGGTTATTAGCTGCCTAAAAACCTCCTTTGCAGAGATCTGGCAGGGTTGTTCAAGCACTTGTAATGTCAGTCTGCCCACCTGTTAGCGGTGCTGCATTTGCAATCCATCTTGTCCAAAAAGCTGTCTTCTTATAAACACTGTAAAGGCACTTGACACAAAGTAGGTATAAGATAAATGTTCGTTGCAGGTGCGAATAATTTTTGTCCCTTCCTAGGATACGGTTATGGTCTCCTTGGTAACAGGAACTAACTCCCATTATATTAAATTAAAACTCAGATGTTTGAGATACCCAAATTGGAGACAAGGTCTCCTTGGCCAATTGTATGCAACGTGATCAATGCTTCTTATCGATCGCAGCAGAACCCGTGTCCCAATACAAACATCCCTCCAAACGGTTTCGAGACTTTTCTCTCCTCCTCGCCTCCACTCTGTGCTCGGGGACATGTCTTACTGCAGACACACTAGCGGTGTAGTTTCGACAGGTTTTGAAGTCCTTCCCTACCTGGGTTTTTTAATGCTTAAATATTTTGACATTTAAATGCCTTACAAGCCCTAAGCACCTGGCCTAGACTTTATCACTAGACTACCAAGTACACTTACCTGGAAATTTTGATGTACAAGCCCAAATTATCCAGGTGCCCGGCATGCCCAACCCAGGGATGCCCACGATCTCATTTACCTCTTCTTTTTTTTTTTTAAAATAAGTTGATCTGCTGAAACACTTTCTTTTTTTTTTTTAGATTTTTAATTATTTATTTATTTTTAGAGAGGGAAGGGAGAGAGAGAGAGAGAGAGAGAGAGAAACATCAATGTGCGGTTGCTGGGGCCCATGGCCTGCAACCCAGGCAAGTGCCCTGACTGGGAATCGAACATGCGATGCTTTGGTTTGCAGCTCACGCTCAATCCACTGAGTTACGCCAGCCAGGGCTCATTTACCTCTTCTGAGGGCTAATGGCAGACCAAAGGACACAGCGTTTCGTATAAGGAAACACACGTATTTCCTGTGTCACTGGTTCTAGAGCATAAAGAACAGCAGATGGTATAAGCCACTGGTAGCAGATGACTGATGAAGGGAACCCACATGCTTTCTAATATATGGCACCGTGTGGAATGGTTTGAAAATAATAAAATTGGCTGCTTGCTTAAAATATTACAAACCCCCAAATATGGGTTTTGTTTTGTTTTGTTTTTAGGAGAAAGCATGGTAACCTAAAAGATAACTTATTTAAGTCAAATATGTCATGTCTCTTGACTAGTCCAACTTTATAACCCTCGAAGTGTTTGGGGGAGAATAGTTTTTTGTTGTTGTTTGTTTATCTTTTCTTCCCCAGAAGAGATTACTGCTTAATTTTTACACTTCCAGAGCATGTGCCACTTTTATTTTATGTTTTGGACATTTGTATCCAGTCAGTGAAATCTGTCAAAATTATGACACCCTGAACTTTTTTTAAACCTATTTTAGTTGTTGTGTTTTTTTTTTTGAGACTAAGAACACACAGTGAATTTGATAAGCTTCTGTGAACTTTGTTGCACTTCATTTGTCTGAGATCAGTCGCTTATTCCTGGGGGAAAAAGAGAGAAAGAGATAGATCTCATAATTAATCTCGTGTTCCGGCAGGAGAAGTTCCGTCTCCTGAAACCAATAGCGTGGTAGATTTCCTCACATGTCATTTTCCTATTTTCAATTCCTCTCCAACAACAGAATCAGTAGAAGCCTTTTTGGACTGAGTAATAGCCTTTTCAGACTATGAAGAAAGATTGAGTAATACCCTTTGCCCAATTTCAAAATCTTTCCATCAGTTCCCTGCCAGCGGTTCTTCAATCCAACCCAACAAACACTGATGGAAGCTTCGCTGTCTGCCTGGGATCACACAAGCTGCTGGGGACAGCGCGCAACTCTCGAGTCGGAGTGTGCTGCTGATCATGCCGGGAAAGAGCTGGACGAGTGCATTGCGCATTTTCAATGCCGTCCTAGAGATCACTCAAGGGACATGTAATTGCCACAGTCAAGCCTGGAGCGCCCTTCTGTGCCCAAGATGGGGCAAAGAGGCACATGACTGACATGATCGTCCAGGGTTCCAAAGCTCTCTGTCAGGCCGTCGGCCCCACCACAGTCAAGTGCAGCCGCTGTGGCTCAGCAGCCTCTGCGAGAGGTCCTCATCCTGTCCGATAAATGTGGGCACAGCGCAATAAGCGAGCTGAAATTCGGTGAACGCCTGCAACGAGAATCAACACGATGAAGGATATGCCGAGAATGGAAAACTAGTGGAC